AATATATTACGCGATCTACACCATAATGAACGGAAAATATTTTAGATTTTGAATTATCATCTTCACACTCATAATTCGCAGAAATGTTTTTCGTTTTCCTTCTAAAATTAGGCTTTTCGACAACTTTACGTTAAAATCACGTTGTCTGCAAATTTTTTCCATCTTGAACTGAGGAACTTATTCAGCTCCTCCGGAAATCGATCTAGATTCTTCCTACGGGCCGTTTGTTCTCTCATGGAACTAAATGTGATGCCTATCTGGTCTAACGATTGTCGGTTCTTCTTGCAACGTGTTCCGGTCATTGTCAAATCAGTCAAATTCTGCACTCATGTAATGACATCAAGGAGTCACTCCTGCAAATAGTCTTATCTGCTCATCCGTTTGGCGTCTTGTTCTTGCTATCCCAAACTTACAGCTTTCTATGTTTTGTAGTCTACATTTTATAAATAGTTCTTTGCAGGATGTGAAAGTTTCGCATTCATACCTTATTTGTTGGATCTCGTACTGGAAGAAAAAGTTCAGTTTCAAGCACAAATGTGCTTTCTTTATAGAAGCGCTTTCGCTCTTCCAGAAATGATAAACCACATTTGTTCTTCAGCTCATTTCACAGAGTTGGCTCTTCGTTGCAGTATTGAGCTTTCCGAAATAAAACACAGTTCTGCCCTTTTTATGCCTTAATTAATCGATTTCAGCAAATCGCAGGGTGATGTACTGGTTAAAGATGACTTGGATCGTCTGCAATTTCACTTTCAGCGTGGCCAGATGCTGGCATCATTCAGCTATTGGCTTCTTCTTAGAATTCTACTGATCTGGACGGGATTTACAAGCCGCTGGTGATTTACACAGTGCCCCTTTGTCTTCAGTCCCTGGATTTCCAAATGGAGTATTCTGTGAACCTCTTCTGTTGCATCTACTAGTATCTTCTTTGATGTTGTATCACCTAATCTAAGAGGCACAATTTTTGATTTCGAATGTCTGTGCTTTCATAAATCTTTACATTAACAGCTGCGTTCATGCATTCGTCACAATACTTGCTTGTTATACCATCGATTGAAATCACTCTCCCAGCGTCGAACTTCATTTTGAAGTAATTCTTCAGTTTAGTTGCATTTAACTCGTCGCATTTCCTGACGGGTTCCGGTGAAATATCAGAGCTGATGGTTGAATGAAATTGAACTAATTTCATTAAGATTTTAACCGTTCTAAAGTTTAAAGTATTATGCAAGACAACCAGTAAACGAAACCAGATTTTTTCCTGCACATTCATTCAGCGACAGTAAATCTGACTCAGAAATCGCGGTGAAATTCTGAAATTCATCACTGAATGACTTATAAATTCCATCCCCATACGTCGGACTTCGAAATTTTTTGGCATCATCAAAGCAAGACTATCGTGAGTGAAGAGGATTTCAGTCAAGAGTAGGTGCAGTTGAAGAAATATTTCGTTTATTCATCTCCATGATATCTGAGTTTCATGAAAAATGG